TATCGCAAACGTCGTAGAGTTGGCCCAGAATTGCGGCCGCTTTGCCGGCGTCGCGATCGATGTGGCCGTAAACGGTTTCATCATGGTCGTCGGCCACGAAAAAGTGTATGATCATTTTGATCAGGGCGTCAAATTTGACACGGTCCCGGGTGAAAGGCCAAAAATAACCGGCAAACACTGCGGTGCCCTCTATGCGCACGAACTGTGGCTTGGTGAATTGGCATGTGTCAAATGACCATGATAGCGCGTCGTCCACCAGCGGTTTGACCGATTGCAGTGGTCCGCACTCGTAGGGCAGTAGTGTTTTAAACCGGTCGGACACCTGATATTTGCGATCGATGTCGCTTTTTTGTTGCTCCGGTACGTTTGACATAGTAAGCTAGTTTATAAAATAAATATTCTATTTGAATAAAGTATCAATATAATCTTTTATAATAATGTGATACTTTATATATACATGGTTATAATGATTAGGTGGATTATATGTATGGGTTTATGTTGAAATGATTATTCATTGGCAACAAATAGAATATTACATGGAAAATGTTTAATACATTTCTTGTTATTTATGTGACAAGAATTATCTAGATTTAATAGATTTCATAACTCATCGTTTCGGTATAATTTTTACAACATGATTATTTATAAGTTTAATTCAATGTAAAACATTTTTCTTCATAAATTGTGACAAATTATAAACGACTGTATAATTATCTAATTTTTATGCATAAATATAATGAATAATTAATTTTAATCTTAAACATATACAGTATATATAATTTATTTATATTCAAATATAATTAATAAGCAAAATAAGTATAATTATTAAAATTAATTTGCATTCATAATGTTACAATAATTATAATGAATAGATAAAATAGAATTTAGTTTAATAACACGATTGTATGTAATTTTTCTCTTGGTACAATAACTGGAAACGGCTTAATAGCTAGACTGAATAACTATAATCACATCTGTTTTTATATTTAAATTTATAGATAAAATTTTAACATAACATTCCACCAATTGTCGAGGTAATTCATGGTAAACATACTTTCAAGATCAGTTTTATCAATGACATTTATTTGATAATTATGGTCATAGTTGGGAAAGTTTACGCCATATATGATCACAATTAATAAAATACAAAAACATACATAATTTAAAATATCTATGATATTTATTAAACACATTTAACATTTAAATATCTAACAACTGAGAGAGAGAGAGAGAGAGAGAGAGAGAGAGAGAGAGAGAACAATTTATTTTTAAAAATAATTTTAATCAGAATTTTTGGTTTGGTTTTCATTTCAAGGTTTTTATAAATAATTTTATAATAATTTTTTGATTAAATGTCTACTCTAGACACAAACAATTAAGTTACAAATAAATATGAGTTTTGGTCATAAATAGAAATGGACATATTTGATTAAGCTTTTATTATTAAGCCATCTTGTTTATTGTAATTCATGATTCATTATATTATAATACTTAATATATTAAAATAGTTATCTTATTCTATAAATAATTAGTATTCTTGACAAATATATTAATTTGTGTTTATTTGCTAATAAAGTATTAAAATAATAATTAAACAAATAATATTCTTATTAATATAAAATAAAATAGATAATGATCAACTTATTAAGGTATGTATCATTCATTGTATTCTTAATGTAAAGTTTAAATGAATTTATAATTTATTATTTAGCATTCTAACATTTATTAAGAGCATAGGCTTAACAGGTATTATAATTAGCCTGATAGTCTACTACATAGTACGATTCTACATAAAATTATATAAATATCCGCCATAATAGTTTTTAATTATTTCAAGTATTTTAGCGTATATTTAAATCTTGATAGAGAGAGAGAGAGAATACAATTAATTTTTTAAATAATTTTAATCAGAATTTTTGGTTTTGTTTTTATTTCAAGGTTTTTATAAATAATTTTATAAATTACAATAATTTTCTTGATTAAATGTCTACTTTAGTCACAGACAATTAAGTTACAAATAAATGTAAATGTTGGTCATAAATAAAAAGTGGACATTTTTATTAAGTTTTTATTATTATACCATCTTGTTTACTTGTAATCCATGATTCATTATATCATAATACTTAATATATTAAAATAGTTATTATTCTTGACAAATATATTAATTTGTATTTATTTGCTAATAAAGTATTTAAATAATAATTAAACAAATAATATTCTTACCAATATAAAATAAAATAGATAATGATCAACTTACTAAAGTATGTATCATTCATTGTATTCTTAATGTAAAGTTTTAATGAATTTATAATTTATTATTTAGCATTCTAACATTTATTAAGAGCATAGGCTTAACAGGTATTATAATTAGCCTGATAGTCTACTACATAGTACGATTCTACATAAAATTATATAAATATCCGCCTGGTCCACTACCGTTGCCACTAATTGGAAATATTTTATGTAAGTATTAACAATGTTTTTGTATATACACTAACAATTAATTTACTATGCAACTTAATTTTATTGCTGACAATATATCTTAATAAACTATTTTAGCATTTCGCAAGTATAAACGACATTGGTCAGAGGAGATTCTAAAATACAAGGATGTCTACGGCCCTGTATTTACCTTGTGGATAGGTTGTATGCCATTTGTAGTTATATGCGATTATGAGATGGCCCGAGAGGCATATGGTAAAAGTGAATTTTCAGGCAGACCAGAACTTCTAATTGGTAATAATGCATACACTATATTTAATTCATGTATAATTTATAGTAACTATTATAAATTATTTGTATACTATAATAGTTTACGGGTAAAATTATGTTATATTTTTAAAATTTTGTCATGTGTAAAATGTTGAATTGTAGTATAATTACATAATATAATTCAACTAAATCTCTGTTATAATAAGCACATTTTATACATTTATTCTTAATTATTAATCTTTATAAATACTACAATAAGATAATTTGTTAAAATTAAATGTATTTTACCTAGCACCAATATTCTGTACACATTCACGTAAAGATGTTTGTTTTAACGATTACACAAAAAGTTGGATAAGTCTACGCAAAGAGTCGTATATAATTCTCCGGTAAGTTATCTCTCTCTCTCTCTCTCTCTCTCTCTCAGTTAGTAAAGTAAATATTTTTAAATAAATATAATACATATTTTAAATTCTGTGTGTTTTTGTATTTTATTAATTGTGATCATATAATACCGTATAGTGGTGTGCAGTACCCGGCTTAAACTTTCCCAAGTATGATCATAATTATCAAATAAATGTCATTGATAAAACTGATCTTGAAAGTATTTTTACCATGAATTACTTTGACAATTGCTGGAATGGTATGTTAAAATTTTATCTATAAATTTAAATATAAAAACAGATGTAATTATATTTATTTAGTCTAGCCATTTAACCGTTTCCAGTTATTGTATCAAGAAAAAAAATTACATACAATCGTGGTATTAAACTAAATTCTATTTTATCTATTCATTATAATTATTGTAACATTATAAATGCAAATTAATTTTAATAATTATTCTTATTTTGCTTATTAATTATAATTGAATAAAAATAAATTAATCTTTATATATACTGTATATAACTTTATTTAAGATTAAAATTAATTACTCATTATATTTAAGCATAAAAATTAGATAATTATACAGTCGTTTATAATATGTCACAATTTATGAAGAAAAATGTTTTACATTGAATTAAACTTATAAATAATCATGTTGTAAAAATTATATCGAAACGATGAGTTATAAAATCTATTAAATCTAGATAATTCTTGTCATAGATATAACAAGAAATGTATTAAGCCTTTTCCATGTAATATTCTATTTGTTGTCAATGAATAATTATTTCAACATAAACCTATACATGCAAACCACCAAATCATTATTACCATGTATATATAAAGTATCACATTATTATAGAAGATTATATTGATACTTTATACAAATAACAGAATATTTATTTTATAAACTAGCCTACCATGTCAAACGTACCGGAGCAACAAAAAAGCGACATCGTTCGCAAATACCAGGTGTCCGACCGGTTCAAAACACTACTGCCCTACGAGTGCGGACCACTGCAATCGGTTAAACCGCTGGTGGACGACGCGCTATCATGGTCATTTGACACATGCCAATTTACCAAGCCACAGTACGTGCGCATTGAGGGCACCGCAGTGTTTGCCGGTTATTTTTGGCCTTTCACCCGGGACCGAGTCAAATTTGATGCCCTGATCAAAATGATCATACATTTTTTTGTGGCCGACGACCATGATGAAACCGTTTACGGCCACATCGATCGCGACGCCGGCAAAGCGGCCGCAATTCTGGGCCAACTCTACGAAGTGTGCGATAAGATTAGCGACACTACCGGTAAGGGTCGACACGTGTCGGCCATACATTGGAAGCCGTATATATTGGCCGCGTATGCCGTTTACGATGAGATCTATTCGGCGCTAAACGAGGTTCAAAAGCGTCGCTTTTTGCACTTATTTCGGGAGTGGAACGACGGTATGATTGCCGAGTGCTTCGATATTAAAAGCAAACGTCAATTCAAAAACCTAGATGAGTATATCGAGGTTTGTTATTTAAATTTATATTTATTCAATATAGAATATCAATCTTATGTGCCTGTCATGAGCTACATTATGATAAATTATTATCGTCTACAGTATAGACTATATTATAAATCAACATTTTGCGGATTCCGGCAAATTCGTCGAAATAACAAATATTATAGAAATTGTCATAATCTATAATAACATATTAGGTGTAATATTATAATAAAGTTTACAAACAACATGTTTATATACAGTATACTTTTCTATCTTCAATGTTGAAAAAATACTTTCTAAAATACTTTTTTCTTTAATGTTGATTGGTCATTGTATGAGTTCACACTGTTTGATTGACAACATTGGCGCATAAAATGCTATTTCAAACATTGCAGAGCTATAAGTATACTATATAAATCTTGTTAACATAAATCATACTCAAAATTAAACTCAAACTTAACGTCATAACCAGGGATCCGCATGTCGAAATGTAATAGTAAATAGTGAGTACTGTATGAGTTATAAATATAGCGATTTATAGACTGATTCATATTTAATAGCATTAATAATGCTTTGACTAAAGTATAACTTCACTATACAAAAGTGGCATCTGAATGGTCCCTGCGCGTTTTAGTAGTCATAAAATTTAAAAAATATAAAACTTTTTTTAATAGGTTAGAACCAAATCGATCGCAACGATGCCATTAATACATCTCATTGAATACGCGGACAACCTGTACGTACCGGAGCCCGAATGGCAGCACCCGTCGATGCAGGCGTTGTTCGCACACTTGAATCGCGCGCTCATAATCTGTAACGACATGTACTCATTCGAGAAGGAGTTGTTGGACGCCGGGGGCCGACCCGACGGCGTGTATAACATTGTGGCCGCGTTTGCGCAGATTGAAGGGGTTTCGTTGGAGGAA